CTGAGGAAGGAACGCCTTAGGAAGCCAAAGCTGGTGGGGTGCATGGATTGTAAGTGCGACGGCGCTGCCCAAGTGTGCAGACAGCAAGGATTCATTTAAATGAGTGTGCAGCCTTGCAACAGCTGAACATAGTTTGTTAGAGTCAATAAATGTTTAAATTGGTATCCAATGTCAGGAGCAATTTGTATTAAATCTCTCTTCTTGATCTTGGATCAATTTCCTCCTGCATAATAAGTTGGAGGGATAATCTGAGGGAGAAACCCAAGGTCAACACCAAAGGAATAGTGCTGAGCGGAAGGGCCTGAGGTGAGACTAAAATGACGTGAATTTGAAGAGAACAGTGAGTTCGAAACCCGGAGAATCAGAACTCTGTCAGAACTGGAACTGGGGGGCAGTGACCCTGCATGGCGGAAGGGCATTGCAGACCGTTTTAGGTGGCTCTGCTCAGTGTGAATGAAAACCTGAGAAATTAAAGTTCTCATAAAGGACCAAATACTTTGCCCTTTGGCCTTTGGGCTGTATTGATTTTAGGATGATGTTATGGTTTAGATCTAGAATGGCCCCAAAGGCTTATGGGCTCAGAGGTTGGGGTTTGAGAAAGGGATTGTATTACCAGGGCACTATACTCATCAGTGGATTGATTCACTGAGGAATTCAGAGCTGAGTGTGCTCTTAGGAGTTAGAGCCTGCCCAGAAGAGATAGATCACCGGGGTGTGTGTGTGTGTGTGTGTGTGTGTGTGTGTGTGTGTGTGTGTGACCCGGAAGGGTATATGTCCCTCCTCAGTTCCCCACCCCCATCATGGCTCCTCTGTCTGCTTCCTGCCTTCCCTGTCCAGAGCAGCTGTCCTCCCCTAGGGCCTTCCACCATGCCCTTTCTGCCTCGGAGCCTGCTGACCATGGGCTGAACCTATGAGTCAAAATAAGCCTGTCCTCCTTAAAGCTGGGAGTATTGGGGATGAGTAAGACAGATAATGATGCCTTTGGGTTTTTCATCACAAGCCACTTCCAATCCTTTTCCTAAACCAGTGATCTGCAAATGACAAATAAGTAAATGGAGACTGGTAACATTGTCATTCATTTTAGTTTTTGTGATATCCTCTTATTTATATTACTCTGTGGGAAATATCTAGGCTCCAGTTGCTTTTCCTATACATGGGAGTTGCAAAGAGCACCCAACAGGCCAAAAGCACTTGTTAGAGGTGGGATGCATGGCTACTTGAGACCACCACAATAGTTTCTCATGTTGTTATCTTCTTATGTTTTAGAATTCTTTTGCAGGCATGATTATCTGACCTCTGAAGGCTCTTCTAGCCATAGAAACAGAATTATAACAGTATAGAGATTTTTTCCCCTTTTATTTGCAACAGTGGTTGTGCCTGGCATGCTGCAAATATCATATCATCATTCACACTAAAATTATGATTCTGGGTGTGTACAATGTCACTGTGGTTACATTGCCAGTATAGAAGAATTCTGTTCAGGTTATCGTCAGTGATAGAGAGCAAAGCTTGTGGTTGTTTGAACATTTATCTCTTTCTCTTTGTTTTCAGCAAGATTATAAGAAGGAAAATATCTGCATTAGGATAACAGCATATTTTATTTAACGTAACACTGTTTGATAAACAGGAACACATTTAATGCAAAATGCAACATAAAGCAAAATTTTAAAAAAAAGATTTCATTTTTCAGAGCAGTTTTAGGTTCATACAAGGACTGAATGGAAGGGGCTGGGGATTTAGCTTAGTGGCACAGTGCCTGCCTGGCAAGCGCAAGGTTATGAGTTTGGTTCCCGGTACCGGAAAAAAAAAAAAAAAAAAAAATGTACAAAGACTGAATGGAAGAGTATGTTTTAAAAACACAAATCTTTACAAAAATTATTAACTTTGTCATGATGTTAATTGCCTTTGCTCAAACTTTAATCACACTCTTTCTTGGTTTTTAAAAAAATTGTATTTATTTACTGCTTACAGAGACAGTTGATCTCTAACACTTTGCCCTGTAACACTTCCCCGGTCTCTAGCAACCTGGCCCCCACTTCTGAGTCCACTTCATATCACAATCAGTGGTCTTAGATGTACTTAGCTTTCATCAATTCTAAAACTCTGGGTTTTTCCCACTATACCACCTTGCTAATTTCATAAGGGACCCAGGATCTCAATTGCCTAATGAACATTTAAAAACTCCAGAAAAAAATCAAAACAAAATCAAATTTTAAAACTCCAGCAGACTTCCCCCATCATCTCAAGGGTTGCTTTTCCATTTTTAGGAAAATTCAAATATCTATTTTGATAAAAAAGATACAATACCTAGCAAATTAAGAACCTGTATGCTTTTCCTGTGCATCCATGCCCCTGCCCCCTCCTCCTACAGAGAAAGGAATAAATTTTTGCTTTAAGGGAGATTAAGCCTATATTGGCAGGTAGCAGAAGTAAACTTGAAGGATTCTATGGTTTACATGTGTGCTGGGATTCTAATCACCCCCTCCTAGGTTGGTTTAAAAAATTAAACACTCCGTGCGTCCTGTGTACAACCAGATGTACATGAGTCCTCATTGCCTTGAACAGTTCCAGAGCCTTAGTAATTTGAGTTTATCTCCAAAATTACTGAACTGCATGGCAAGAAATTAAAGTAAAAATTATGTTCATCCATCACCTTTTATGAGCCATGAAAAACTACATGAAAAATAAATCTTTGCAAGCAAGACAGTTTCTGTTCTAAGTGGTTCTTCTCACTTCAGATACATTAATATTCAAAACCATAACCTGTCGTGTGCTTAGCTTCGCGTGAGGAGAACAAATCAATCCCCTCCTTCTGTTTACCGTGTTGATTAACACTGCTCTTGTCTGTGCCTGGGGTACACGGAGGTATTGCTGCTTCTCCCTTAAAGGAGCAGGTTCTCTGGAAACCAAAACAGGGAGAGGGGGTTGGCGCTCATTAGAAGCCTGCTGTGGGCCACCCTTGATCCTCCCAACAAGTCCAAGGATGTTTTCTTGTCTCCACTTTCTGGTGGAGGAAAAGAAAGCTCAGAGAGCCTGTGAAACAGTGGCAGGCTGACACAGCTGGGAGGTGTGAGGAGGTCTGAACCCAGCCCAGTGTGACTCCACACGTTTCTTGGATTCCTCCTGGACACCCTCAGAAAGCGATCAAAGTTAGTGTGAACAAGGATGCCTCCAGCATCCAGAGCTCTTCCAGTACCTACAGCGCCGGGCATGGAGAATTCCGCTTAGCCCTCACTCCCAACGACAGTGTCTTCCCTCTGCTCACGGCTTGCCTAGAAGTCACGGAGTGCTGTTCCCTCTCCGTGTGTGACTGTCTGAGTGGTGAGTGGGAAGCTGCCATGACTCACTCATGCCGTGTGCCCCCACGCAGCCCTCGGCATGGGATGGCGTTCTCCCACCTCAGCTGCCTCTGAAGGAACTCATGCCTGCTGCACCGCAGGCCTGTGCCCTAGGTATCTGGCAGCAGGTCCCCCTCCTCAAGCTGCAAGTCATTATCAAAGCCAGTCAGTGTCTCTGGAGCTGGCTCCCTCTAGCCTTTGCAGATAGTCAGGAGGCAGGCTCCTTGGTTGGAGAGCGGAGAAAAGGGCGCTGTGGTCTTGCCGGCTCTTTCCTGCTCTCTGCTTGGGCTGCTGGCAGTGGTTCGTGCTTATGGGAACAAACCAGGGAGCAGCTGCGCCCCATGGTGTCCCGAGTCCTGGGCTAATGCGGCAGCCCCAATTGGCACTGTATCTTCCAAGGCAGAGAAGAATCTGGAAACTTTTCCATGGTGAAGGTGCCCTCTTTGTGAGTAACAGAGATTGCAGCTGGGTCCTTGGCCCACCCCAGAGACCAGGACGCCTGGGCACCCACGGGCCTAGCAGTGCAGCGGGTCCCCACCGTGTGAGACCCGGTAAAGCTCACCTAGAGAGAAGAATACTGCAAATGGTACCGCATCTCTGCTCACAGCCCAGCACCCTCTCCTGAGGGAGCCACAGGCCTCACTCTCGGGTCTCCTAACATCTCCGTGTCCTGAGTCCCTGTATATCCACCCAGTCACCTTGCCAAGCAGTGCTGTCTATCAGCAGGGAAGCCTTGCTGGAGAAAAATCCCACTGCTAGGCCAAAGAGGGCAGTGACAGGCACATTCCAGCTCCAGCGGGGCTCTCAACACAGCCTGGCCATACACAGAGTCATTGCCAGGAGAGTCCCCATCATGCCCCTTGGACACTGCTCTGCAGCCCTTTCCCTGTCCTGGGATTAGGGCTCACCAGCCCCGCACCACAATTCTTGCAGAAGGCGTCTCAGCTAATGATTCCGAGTTCCTCCGGGGTAGGGACCATGCTTTTGTTCACATCTGTGGCAATAATGTGTCAAATAAATGATTGAAATGAGAAAACAGAATAAAGCTGCTTAACCTGAATCCCCCAATTTCAGTCCTCTCTCCCATGAATCTTAATCAAGGGGAAGGGAGGGAAACTAATTTAAATTGAGCACTTTACTATTTTTAAGCCCTATGATCAGCACTTTCTCATATATTATCTCATGCAACCCTCCCCCAAGTCTGTGAGGTAGGTAATGTTATTTCCTTTTCACACAAGCAGAAAAGTTGAGTGGTCCAGACTCATGTAACTCCGCAGCTCATGCACTTTTCCACGCATTTGTTATCTGTCTCTCCACCTGCTTTTCCCTATTCATCTCTTGTAGTTCTTTAATAACCAAGGCCGTTTACTCCAGCTAGCATTAGAGTACAGCATTTAAGTTGGCTTCTGTAGGTAGTAAAGGGGAGAGGTCCCCCAACTTTAAAACTCACCAATAATACTTAGCAAAGGGGGGAGGAGAGGGCTGAGCCCATGTACCAGATTGAATATCTGATTTTGATTGCAAGTGACAAATACCAACTTAAAATAGAAAGGGGAATATTGTTGCAGCAAGTACTTAGGAAATCCTGGGCACATTTGTTCCTTGTTTGAGAATAGAGCTCGTACAGTGTCATCAGCATGTCATTTTCCTCTCTCTATCCAGGTTTTGTTCCACACCGTGCTGACTTTATCATAAGGCAAGAGGCCAAGGTAGCCTCCTACCCAATGGCGCAGCAGCTCATCTACATGGAGGGGGGCAGTCATGTGTGTCACCTAGAGTGAGAATCAAATGAAACAGAACCTGCCAAGAGCTTCCTGGTGCCTCATCAAGTTGTCAGTGGATATGTCTTCTTATCAACTTTGCTATTGTTATTACTTTTATTGTTTAGAAACAGATCCTGGGAGAAGTCGATTAGTATAACCATGATTGAGAGTTGAAGACGTGGTTCTGCAGAATTGGTGAAAATTAACATTGCAGTAGATGAAAACAGTAAGATCAATAACTTCAGGACTACTGAAATGCCTACTCTAGAGCAATAACTAAACTACTATTGTTTGATGCAAATTAAACATTGTATGCATAACTTTTAGAAACAGTGTCCCGTATTTAAGGTATTCCCAAGAGGATTGGGAAAGAAGGTATTCTCAGGAAAGATGTTGATGCTAACTCAAGACTATTATAGGAAATTTAGAAAAACTGTACCATGGACATTTTCCTTTAGCAGCTAGCATCCCCGGAGCGACAACTGATTCAGAATCTCCGAGAGTAGATCTCAGAAGCCCACACTTGTTACACATTCCTCCATCTGGTTCTCAGGCACACTGAAGTTTGAGAATTCCCACACTAGGCCTTGGCTCCCTGTGGCTGAAAATTCCTCACTGCAGTATCTGCAGCCTCCAGCACGAGGCTGTGCCCAGTAGGTCCTACCTGAATGTGTGTTCATCCGTCTATCTTTCTGTTTTTGATGCTTAAGTGTTGTTGTTCCCCAAAAGTATTTCTCCAGAACGAGACGTACAAAACTTGTTCTCGTCACTGAGGCCCATGTTTACACTAGTTTTTCACCCTGGTGGTAATGATTAGGGCTGCAAATGCTTTGAAAATTAACAAATTTCACACGGAAAGGAGCAAATTAAGTCCGTGCAGGCCAGAAGCTTAGATTAGATGGAAACGGCACTATAAAAACAATCACCTGCTCTGCTAAGGAAGGGACACTCGCTCCTCTCAAATGAATGCCATCTGGTCAGCCACCGTGAGACAAAGCCCCTCCCCAGGAACGCCAAGCACCCGAATGAGGACAAGTAATCTAATTCTCCATGACACTTCCATCTCCATTTTAATATGGAAAATCTCGATGAAATGGATTCTGCAGGAACAGATTTTCATTACTGAAAAGCCATGTCAGAATAAATTAGCATGAAGAAGGAGCAGGAAAACACTGGATTGGGTTATTCAGAACAATTTGATTATTCACCTGTTGGTAAAGTTGTTTCATGTGCATTTACTAGGCGTCAGAGACACCAAGTATTATTCTTTCTGTTAGAGAAATGGGTGACTTCTCTGTCCTGCTCAAATTTCTGCATTGTTAATTTGAACACTGCCCTTGCTATTTCTTTATCATTTGGTTATCTTGGGTCAATAATGATAGCAGCAGAACAGTGGCTGGAAGGGGGACCTGCCAGGTGTAGGTTCAGCTCAGGTGTTGTTTATTATTGGAAATCACACCTGAGACTTTACCTAGCAAAACTCTACCTGGATAACATTGTCAAAGGAGAGGAAGGGACAAAGCACATACATATGGCAGGTTTGGAGGTTGCAGGGTAAGATCTGAGCAGCTCTTTTTGTGGGTAAACTAGGGATGGCTCCAGGGGCCTGAGACGGGACAAGGGCTGCAACTGAGGTTGTGCCTTATAGGCAAGCAGGGGCTCCTAAAGCCTTTGCCCTCAGGAAGCTTGGACCAAAGTTGCCTTCCCTTTCTCCTCCCTCCCTGCCAATTTCTATTCCTCCTGAAAGCTGCCTTGTCAGATCCAGACTCATCCCCTCTTTCCTAAATGCTTACTGTGTTCCAGGCTCTGTGCTAACCTCCTTTCTGATCATTATCCATGTGAAAGTGAGTGTCATAAAATATACACTCAAAATGGGAAAAGCACTGGCGTCATGGCACAGGCCTGCAATCCCAGCTTTCTGGGAGGCTGAAGCAGGAGGATCACAAGTTTGAGCTCAGCCTGGAGAATTTAAGGACTTAGTGAGACCCTGTATCAAGACAAAAAAAAGAAATTAAAAAGATGGCTGGAATGTAGCTATCTGACTCAGTGCAAAAACTCCCTGGAGGAAAGAAGGAGAGAAGGAGGAGGGAGGGAGAGGAGGGAAGGAAGGCGCAAGAGAGAGAGAGAGAGAAAAGGAAGAAATATGGTCAAGTGTCTCCTCTTTGCTGCCTGTTTTTTGGTCTATATTGCTGGACTAAGACCCTCAAGGGTAAAAGATTTGATTTGTTCATCAGGCAACTATCTCAGTAGTTGGCATTTAGCAGACATGAAAAAGTGTTCACGGAGTAAGATAGAGTTACTCAGTGGTGATCATATTATCGCCCCCACTTTACAGATAAGGAAACTGAAAATCAAATGAACGTGTGGTGCACATAGCCCTGGACTGCAGGGTGCCAGCTTGCATGCGAGGGTTAGGGCGGAGTCTTCAGGTCTCCTCTACACTGTGTGTTTGTGTATTTCCTAGTCCTCTATCTATGCACTGCTCAGAGAAATACCTGATTTCTTCCTCCACCAAGGAAGCTTCAGTTTTACCCCTTTTCTTTCGTCTGGTGGCTTTTTTTCCTACAATGACAGTTCGAGCTAAGCCTCATCATTCCCAACAACCCTTCTCCCTGGATGTTCATTCTGACCTGGAGCCTTAGCAGGGCCCTGGCTGCACACGGTTCTGCCCCAGGGTACTACCTCCTCCTGCCTTGCTGCTGCTCCCTTGGGGCTCTGCTGCTCTAAGCACCTGGCCTCCAGCTTCAGCAGTGTGTTCTGGGGCATCTGTCCTGGTCCCAAAAGGAGCAGAGCGTTGAGGGCCCTCATGCTGCCCACCTACCCATGACTAGTGTGTAAAATGGGAGATGGGACGTGGATGACACACAGTGCTAGAGAAGCTGCTAGGAGCGTGGCATGGAGACTTTTACAGATCACAGCATGAAGAATCTTACGCATCATGTTATTTACACTGTCTCTGAGGCAACTAGCTCATTGGCCACCGCACTAATGTGTCCTAACTTGCCATCTGTAGAATGCAAGTCAACTTGCTGTCCAATCCAGATTACGATATGTAACCATTAGTCAACACTCATAGGCTTTCCTCCCCAGGACCTTGTCAGGGAACAGAAATCCGTCTCAGTGAAAGTCTTCCAGGCAGCCATCACCAATGGGCTAGGTTGGCACATGAGACCAAAACTATTTGCCATCCTGACTCTAGACACACCCTTTATTTCCATAAGTAGAGAGAGAAAGATCTGTCATCCAGGTAACCCCCAAACAACTTTCTACTTTCCCTTCTTCTCCTGCTTCAGGGATAACCCTAATCCACATCCTAAATAACCCTCTTGAGCACCACTCCTTGTATCAGGCTTACTCGAAAGAGTGAGGCTCCCTCACCCTCACTGGACAACAACACATCTGTGGCTTTAGCAAAGCGCCACCCCATGCAGTGGTGAACCTCTAGGTCAGACAGGCTTTCCCACTAAGCTCTTGAGACCCTCAGCAATTGGTGTCTGATGCTGCTGCCTCACCAACCTGTAGTGGGAGCACCCATTTTCCACAGATGCATCAGGGTAGCAGGCAGGCAGGGGGCAGTGGACAGCTGTTAATCTGAACAGCTCATCCTTCAAGGAAAGCTTCTCATTCTGCCCCAGAATTCAGCCTGGGCTCCCTCTACTTCCCACTTCCACTTCCTTGGCTAGGAGAGGGCTCTCTGAGCATCTCTCAGGACAGCCCAGCACACAGAAGGCCCTGCAGGGGTCTTCATCACTGCACTCTTTCTGAGGCCCTGGCCTGTATCTCTAGGATTTTGTTACAAGTCAGAGCAAATGCAGACTATTGTCATCTATGAGCTGAGCTGATGTGTGAAGAATTTTAAAGTGGAGTTTGTTGAGCCCCAATTAAATCCTATTTTACAAATTCCATCCAACTCCTCTACAGGAGAAAGCTCATTAAGTTTTTCTCCCCACACTAAGCCAGACGAGGTGGCAGTGCCTGGCTGTGCTGCTGGAGCCCAGGCTCCTGAGAAGGTTGTCACAGCGGAGTCCTGTGGTTCCTCAGAAAAGGCAAAAGGATTTATGCGGTATAGCTAAGTACCAGGAAGACAAGGTTATTTCTAAGAGCAGGTACCAGAAAATAAAGCGACAGACATGAAATGGGAAAATAGCCTTTGAAGAGAAGCATCGGTGCAAACGAGGGCTCACAAATCAAAGGAGAAAAGGTTTCTTTTCCTTTGTTTTCGCTTCTTTAAAGACGGCCAATTCCATCCAGTCGTGGATATCTAGTGAGCACTATGGGCTTTACTGCAGCTCGTGATTAAAGCAATTTTTAAAAGAGCATCACAGATAAGGCCTCCTGGGCTGTCTTCTAGCGACTGAATGGGTCACCAGAGGATCAGCCCATTAGTCAGTCAACACACATCCCGGAACTGGAATCATTAGCATTTCCTCTCTTCCAATCTTTTCACCCTTTTAGCTAGCTGGGGGGTCCAAAACAGGGCACACAGACCCAAACCTCCCCTCTTTATTGTTAACTTAGAGGCAGCCTCAAATTCACTCCCTCTGCCACCCTGCTTTTCTAATCTGTGTGACAAGCATCACGGTCCACTGCACATCCCCTACTAAAGCCTAGGGCTGCTTTGGATCCAAGCAGCCAGTTCCGTCACTTCCCTGGGCCTTGTCAGCTCTCCAGGAATCTCTCATGGAAGAGGCCTCACCAGGCCCAAGTCTGGAGAGGCTGAGAGGAGATGCTGGAGGGGACGATGATGACCTTTATTTTTGCACCTGAACTTTTATCTGTGCTTGATCTCTAGGGGTCACAGAGGAAGAACTCAGGGGCAAGGGTGAGATTGAACATCTGCTTTCTCCCTTCCCTTCCTTCTTTCCTTCCTTCTGGGCTACTTTTTAAAAGTTTAATGAGGTGAGAGTGAAATAAAGGAAAGAGCCAGGGCTTCTACCCCACTTCGGCAGCAATCTTGCTTTCATTAGTTATTCTGTCCCCATAGACTTACTATTGGCAAAAGGACACTTTAATTATGAACAAAGGGAATAGAAAAACTGTCTTTGCTGCAATGTTTCCTTCAGGACCAAGAAAGCCCGGTGTAGGACAGAGTCTAGCAGACTTTTATCTGTAGGCATATCTAAAAGACAAGGTAATAAAAAGTGCATCGATCACAGAAAGTGTGAGCACCTGTCCTCTCTACTTTGGTATTTTGTGTGCAAGCAGGAAATCTGGGGCTGCATCAACAGGCTGACTTCTAGGTGGACTTTCCAGGCCAGGTACTCAAATATGGAGAAACTGGGGCTGGGGATTTAGCTCAGCGGCACAGCACCTGCCTGGC